TGAAAGGGCGCTTCGCGGCGCGGTGGATGGGCGCTCCGCGCCGCGGCGGGCGCGCGGGCCTGGACAGCTCGCACTACTTCACATTTTGGAGTCGTTCGGGCTCGTCTGGTATCGGAATTGAGTTCCGTTTTTTCTTGTGTGCTCCCAACGAACTCCTCTATCTAATTACGCTTGCCCGACTAATTTTTGCCTGAAATCCGGTCCTCCCGAATCTTTCGACCTACACACCACAAATGAAAGAAAAACGAAGGAAACCGGAAAAATACACGAAAAACACAGAAATACTCAAAACACGAAATAAACGACAAAATGACTCTAAAACCACAAAATGACTCAAAATGGGGGAAAAAGAATGAGAAAATAGACACGAAAAACGTAACAAAAATGGGACAGACAATTATTATTATTATTATTACTATTATTATTATTATTAATCCACCAATCTAATCAATGCTAAAATATTTCATTGCACTTTTTTTAAGGTTAATTAAGACAAAAACCGTTACATTTCATATTAACGGAGTAATAATTATACTATTTTATTATATCATATAATAGTTATTATTAAAACTAATAACTATAGTTTACACTAAATGATATATGAAAGTTACATAAACATAAAAAATTATTGTAAACTTTTTGCTAAAGTTATTTATTCTAAAATTAATATTATTTTTTTTATCTTATTTAGCGGTTGTATTTTTAAATAAGTTAATTTATTTTAATGTTATAGTAAAATTCCTTAAAATCACATAATCAAATGTTCTAATTTATATTTTTATTATCATATGCATAAAATATAATTTCTAAAACTCTATGTTTAAAATATAATATCATTGTATAACTTATAATTTTATTACTATATGCATAAATGTAACTTATAATATTCTATTTACACTATGCAATGCACAGGGTCGAAACACATAGAGGGGCGTAACCATAAATTTTTTCCATCCTGGACTTGTGAAAGGTCGAACTCGATTCACTTGTATATTTAAATGAGCTAAAATCAAAAGACTAATCGATTTTTTTTTTCTGTCAAACAAGTTGAGTTGAACGTGTTCTCGATCGACTCGATTAAAATTTTGGGTATTGTTCTAGATTTAAAAGTTTATGTCCAACCGAATTTCAACAATCCAAACTCGGGCTCACATTTCTGTTTGTTTATTAAACAAGTTGAGCCATGGCAACTGGTTTACTAAATGTACACGAGTTTAAACATGAAATACTTGACTCGAATAATTTAGCTAGGTACATATATATATATATAAGTATGGTAACAATTTTAAAGTATTATTATATATTACATGAATCACGCATTAAATAATATTAAAATATAAATATTGTATTTTTAAAATAAAAATCAATTATATGGACCTCCTAAAAAAGTTTGTAAATTATTAACTACTCTTTTATACATTAACAAATCATAACTTTTAATTAATTAATTGTTATTTTTTAAATGCAAAGAATTTTTTTCTTATATACTTGAATTTTAATTAGAAAGAATAATATATTAATTTCATGGTAAAATCCCTTTAAATTGCATAAAAATTTGATAAAATAAATTTAATATTTTTTAGCAAATTAATTAGTCATGATCCTTCAATATTACAAATGTTACGTTATTTATTACATTTTATGCAATCAATATAGTGATTCATATATGCAATCAAATAGTTATGTACTATTTATTTTACTAATGATCAAATTTTAAAACACGATGTTATTATCTGACTTATAATTTTAATATTATATGCATAGATATAACTTATAATACTTTATGTTTAAAGTTTAATACAATTATCTAACTTATAATTTTAATATTATATGCATATAAATAACTTATAAAAATTTATTTATATCTGTGCAAATGCACAAATTCGAATACTAGTGCCTACTGATAACGTCTCAATTTTATACTATTTTACTTGAATATCAATTATGTATAGTATATTTAAATGAATCGCTAGACACCGCCCTCTTTTTACTACCTACCAGGCTACCACCCCCGTGATGTTTTACCCTCCTCATAATTCTCTAAAATAATATAACGATTTATTTTATAATATTAATTAAATTTCAAATAATGTAAAAAGTTTTACAGGATATTCAGTTTTAATTTGTAACATAATAATTTCTAAGTTCTAAGATAATAATAATAAATTATAATTTATAAATAATAATTTTTAAATTCTAATATAATATTTATAATAAATAAAAATTTGATTAGTAACAAAAAATAAGAAAAAGCCGGCCGGCCGGCGATAATTCGTACCTCGCCGTCGCTCATTTTCACCGAAAATCGCCAAAATTTTAGAGAATTAGCGATTTTTTCAATTTTTTGAGAAAACATTAGGGACAAAACCATTCAAGAAAGGATAATAGGAAGTAATAAGACGGCGGTAAATATTAAATAACACTACTCTATGTTTAATGGGTGTCTGACCACACGTGTGGAGAAAACCATACTCTGAAACAACCACTTCGCTCTTAAACAAAAACCAGCGATGCAAACCCCAAAACTGTGTGTGCATTCAATCATTCACCTCTTCAACTTGGGCATTTAATTCTATTTCAATTCTACTCCTACTCTATTAAATCCTAAAATTAACTAAATCTCATAATATTCTGTAAAAAAATGAAATAAAGGAAAAGATTCTCCACTTTCAGGTGAGAAAAAAAGAAAAATGTCCTACAATATGCTCCACAATTAAAGCTAAAAAGCACTTTTTTTAGTTAGGTGTTTCAAGTATATACGCCCGTTGTGTGCTGTGCGTGAAGACATTTGCTGAGCAGAATTGCAGAGTAAAGACAAAGGGAAGTTGTTTCAAGTTTTGGCATTTTTAGAAAATGGTCATGTGCATACACACGGATGCGCGCTTGTCCTCTTCAATGACGTTCACTTTCGGATTTTGACCCTTGCACCCACTCATCTTACTAAAATAAATTTTAATTAACTATAGGGTAGAGCATCTTTAATAAATAAATCCTACATAAATCTCGTTTTACACTTTTTAACATGGCACATCATTCAAAATCTTATTATTACTCTTATACTATGAACTTATAATAACAATAAACTTCATAAACCTTCATGTTTATGGGTCTCGCATGTTTCCTACTTGCTTTAATTAATATTATATTCTTATATTTTTATTAATATTTTAAAACTATAACTCAACTTTGTATTATTGTTCAATCTAAAATGTTTCATAAATTTATCATAAATACATATAAAAAATAATATAACTATATTGCATTATTTATAATTATAGAGTGTTAATTATGTACCAATGTAAAATTTTACTTTAAAAACAATTACGAAACATAGAACTAACATAATGCTGAAAACTAAAATTCGAGTATGTACCCCCCGATAATATGTATGGTATTTTCGTTAAACCAAAACTAGAATTATTTTAGTATATAAAAGAAATAAGTCAATTGTTTTGAGCTCGACTCTAACAAGTCGGTACTGCCGAGCAGGTCAGAACGAGCTCTAATTTTTTATGATAAAAAATGAAGAAGTTCTACAAAAAACATAAAACGTGGGTTGCCTACCAGAAGACACCCATTTTACTGTCACGTGCTCAAATTCCCCAAACCAAAATTAAACGGGATCCAAAAAAATGTTGATCATGTCATGCATTTGTATTTTCCAAGAGTAGTCGAGATGGTAGAATAGAACAAAGGTGGGAAAAATGAACTCTAGTCGCCATTTTCTTGGGAAACTGAGCAAGAATATCAACAATCACAAGAAAAAGAAATAAATGTTTACAAACCACCGCCACGTAATCAACCTCCTCAAAGACCGGTAGGAAAGGGAATATTCTTTCCTACCTGATTGATCACCGGCGTCGAATGCTTTTAAGCATAGCCTCCTCCCGGCATAGAATTGATGATCAATGTCCGACTTCAAACCTATATTGGGAAACTGAGCAAGGATATCAACAATCACAAGAAAAAGAGATAAATGTTTACAAACCATCGCCACGTAATCGACCTCCGGGTATATAAACATATCCATGGAGAATGTAGAATCCATCCCGGTCGTCATGAGTGTCATCTCAGGTGTGTATTGAAGTATCTCAAGAGTCAGAAAAATGGGCATAAATGCATTAAACTCCTCTAATCGTCCACTATCCTCAATAACACGAGATGACTCGAAAGATATGAGAACCACTTCATACTCAACATTGAATATAGCTCGGAATCCTCCTTCATTAGGGAAAATGCATCTTCTTAAATGGGCTTTCTCGTCCTCACAACATCATAAATCAATTCTCCCGATCTTTTCAAACACAAATCCACACATCATGAATGAGTTCACTTGCCTTCTCTATAAGGGAGTCAACCAAATTAACAATTGTAGTCGACCCTTTTAGAGACAAATCGATATTTTGTAGAAGTTCACAGGCTCTTCCAATAGTGTTTCCCCAAAATCAAGACAATCACTCACAACTGATGTAGAGATTTCCACAACTTCATGAACCATCTCATCCTCTTCAAAGTCATCCTCCCGAGAATGAACAAGTCCGTTAGATTATCCAAATTCATTGATAGGCACAATCAACTCCTTCTCCAAAGAAATATCACTCATACCATACACCATCTCATTCTCCGATTCCATATACTCATTCTAAAAAATAGAATTTGAATTCAAAGCAGAATCACAAGAAAAAAGGTTTGACATACATAGTGTAGAATACAAGTTTGAATCGTCAATAGGGTATATTTCTTTAACGACCAAATCGTTGATGTCCTCACTCGCGTCAAAAGATTTTGTACCAGCATATACGAGGGTACGACCCATCATTTTCAAGGAGGTAAACCAATCCACCACTGCTCAAAACTTGCCTTCTAGCTAGGTACTCTGTCGAATTATCATCGTCGATAGAGAACAATATCTCCTAAGTAGAATTCGAGACACATCCAAGTAAAGAAACGTAACCATGGTATCGCTTGAAGAACTGATGGAATGGGTATACTCCTCCAACTATGAAACTCCTCGATGATCGACATAATGCTTTCAAGTGCCTCTTTTGTGCTTGCCAAAATGGCTTGGTAACACTCAGAAGGCTCAACTCTTGTTAAAATGAAGCTTCGGACCTTGATGTACTAGATTGACCAACCAGTTAGTGCTCGTATGAAGGAGAGGATGGATCATAAGACTCGGTTTCTTCTTTTTGGACATTAAAACCATTGAAGAGCGAAGAGATTGATTGCACTTCTCCAATGTGTCAAAAGTTTCATCCAAACGGCTTGGAGAAGACTTGAATTGGCTCGGGTGGAGGTTTTGACCATAATAATCGGGAGGCGACAGATAGTAATAGTAAAAAAAAAGGTAGAGAATCGTAGTATGGTGACTAGTCGTAACCTGAGATGTCATAATCAGTTCTGGCTCGAGATGCTTGATAAGAATGGCTCGATCTATACCTATGGAATGTAGAGTATCCGTCAAAAGAATAAAAAGGTGGATAGCTCAGGTGCGAACGCGGTGGCTCACCATTCGGTGGGTACATCTCCTCTAGGTAGTTTTCGGAGTATCCACGAGGTGAGCTTCCAATAGAAGAATATTTGTACAAGATCATTGGAGCTCCTCAAGCAATTTACCTTACAAAAGAACAACAAACCAAAGCACACAAGACCAAAAAAGGAAAATTTTAAATTACGGGAAAAACACAAATATAAATAGCACGGAATAATTCACAGAAGGACAAATACCAAAATAGCAAGAGAAAGAGTTAAAGAAGAAGAATAATATAGAAAAACACATAAAATTAAGCAATTTAAAAAAAAAAAGCAAGAAAAATACAGAAAATAACTCAACCGATTGTCTAAACTCAATGTCCTACTCGCCTTTCCCCGTAACAGTGCTATTTTGTTTGTATTTTTTATTTTTTTGCTGAGTACTATTGTGAAGACTAGCCTCGAGTCATCTCGCAAAGAAAGAATGTTCAAAATCGGATTCGGGCAATGATTGATTCATAAAATAAAAAATAAAGTCCTAAATACTCAAATAGCAAGTTGGTTGTTTGTTTTAAGCTAGTGTAAAAACAAGCAAACTTAATTAAAAGCAAGTAAGCTAAGTCGAGCGCATGAGAAACCTCAAATTACAATAAAAATCTATCATTATATAAAAAGAATAACCTTTTTACAAATTTAGAAACTTTTTCCCGCCAAAATTATTAAATATATCCTAATATAGTAATTGTTGGACAAATCTGAATAGGCAAAAAAATCGGCTCATTTTTTTTAGTTTATCAAAACCGTTGTTTGACAATAAATATTTGTTTTTCTTTTTCCTATTTTTAGTATAAATCTACACGCTTATCTCTTCTGTTACAAAATTCCATTGCATACGATCTCACGTGTTTAAAAAATCTCATCCCTTATCTATACAGATTTAAAAAAATAAAATAAAATAGAAACCAATTCATAATTACTACTAGAAATCCATTATTTTTAAAAAGAAAAAATAAAATAAAAATAGAAACTAATTCATAATTACTACTGGAAATCCATTATCTACTTTAAGAAGCTAATTTTCATCGGTCTAATTACTAATATTTTTACAAATATTATAAGCTCACCATACAAAAAAATATAATAATAATTTGAAATGGTGTGTAATCAAATTTTTTTATATTCTCTTATACAAAATAATTTTACATTGTTTGACCCCGAATCTATAATTTGATTATTAAGTATTGTTTATCCTCCTCTTTAATTTATAATTATTTTTTTTGCTTCCTCTTTTTAAATAGGAACAATAGTAGTTTCCACTTCCGTCATTGAGTGACTCAAACTCGAGGTCTATTTATAATATTATTAATTTAATATTGTTTCCGTGCATCGCACGGGGTATACACTAGTGTGTTGAACAAAAAAGGGTGAGATTTGAGATATGGGAATGTGCTTTTGGAATCTAATTTAGATATTGAGACAGACATGAATATAATTTGGGAAAATGCTACAATCCCGTTACGGAACCATTCCGTTGGGATTGTAACCGTTAGATCATCAAGTAACCGTCAATGTTAATTGATCTAACGGTTACAAATCCCAACGGAATGGTTCCGTAACGGGATTGTAGCCTTACCCTATAATTTGAGGGGTTTCATATTTGTATAATTTATCTATTACTATATAATACGGAGAAGAAAAAATGTTTGAAAAAATATTTCAAATTCCCGCTTAAAAAATTGTTTTTTCCCTTTAAATTTAATTTTAATTTTTTTCATCCCTTTTTTTTTTGCCATGGATTTCCCTTATCTACAACATTATTAGATTTCAAATCTTTCAGTTCACATTACAATTCGATTTTAATTCGGGATTCAAAATTTGATTAGATTTTTTTTAAATATGTAAAAAAAAGAGAATCCCCTTTCTCTCTCTCTCTCTCTCTCTCTCTCTCTATATATATATATATATATATATATATA